TGAATTTTTTGGACAATAATGACCTTCTATATATGAAAATACCAAATTGTCCTTATCTTGTTTGGTTCAGTATATATACACACCCTTATATATATATATATATATATACATTCCCTAAATTGATAAAACCCTAACCCAAATTCAGATTGGATTCTAGTATATACAGGCCGTACAAAAAAACGGACTTTTCAACTGACCAAAACTAAATTAGTCAATTACACTTTATTATCTTATTAGATTTAACCATAGTTAATAATGTTAACTTTAATAGTCAATTTACAATAGTCAGTCAATACCTTTATTCAATCTCTCTCCTCCTTAATCTCTTTCATCTTCTTTGCAATCTCAACCACCACACTATCACAACCACCATCTTCACCACTACAGCCACAGCACAACTACCATATTCATTCTCCAAAATTGAATTCCAAGGCTACCTGGTCACTATCTCTTTCTCTCTTCTTTTAGCACTTTAATCTTCGACCCATTATTCCACGCTTTGTGAATAAGCTTTTTTAAAAGGGTATTGGCTGACTATGGTAAATTAACTATTAAAGTTAACATTATTAACTATGGTTAAATTTGATAAGGTAATAAAGTATAATTGACCAATTGGTCCGTTGAAAAGTCCGAGCTTTCCTCCCATTATATATACACACTCATATATATATACATTCCCCAAATCAATAGAACCCTAACCCAAATTCAGATTGGTGAGGGTCATAACCACCACCACCGTCCGTTACTACCACCATAACCATCACATTGCATGAGAGATATACATACATATACATTCCCCAAATCAATGAACCAAAACCCAAATTCAGATTGGCGAGGGTCATAACCACCACCATAACTATAACCACCGTCTGCGACCACTACCATAACCATAACCACCGTCTGCGACCACCACCACCACAACCACCACCACCACCACCACCACCACCTGCGACCATCACCACATTTCCAACCGCCATTACAACTACAATCAAAATCAATACCGAGACCAACCACTACCGGAGCAATAATGAACCTTGACCCCATTTCAGCGAGTTTCATCATACAAAACAAATCCAAACCAGAGTAGACCATCATCATCTAAACCAAATCGGAATGTTTTAAGGACCCAAATATTTAGTATCTAGCAACGCCGGTGACCATGGACACCACTAATAATTACAAAGTCTCATTTTTTCTAGGTTTGGGTGTCCTTCACCATTCATCTTCAACCTTGCAACCTGTTATGCAAAATTAAATCATTGCAATCAAGTTTGGAGTTGCAGAGGAGAAAAAGGAAAGAGAGAAGGCCAGGCAAAATCCACTGGCTGCGTCACCACGACTCGTGGTGAAACTATTCATCTTTTTCACATACCTTTTGTATATATACAGAGACTGGAGTTGTATGATTTGGAACACATGGGAATTAGAGACCAGAACACAAGTGGAGATTGGGATCGATGGGACCTAAGGGCTAATTTGGTGTGGTGGAATGAAATACAAAGAAAGTAAAACGGAATGATTTTTATTCTATTATTGTGTTTGGTGCCCAATTTTAAATTTGGAATTGTCATTCTCTATCATTCTTGGAGAGTGGTCATTCCTTCAAAATCATTCCACCCTCTCATAAAAGGAATGACCATTCTACTCTTATTTTTAAAAAATACAAACTAAAAAAAATATATTAAAAAAAAAAACCTAACAAATTACAAACCCACGTCATCATCTCCTCTGTCAAACCCACCGCCAGCATACGGTGAAACATACAATAACGCACAACCCAATCCAACCCATTGTCTAACAAACATAATATTGATCTTGAACTTCAAAGTGATGGACCAAGACACAACAGAAAATCAGAAGTAGATCTGAGTTAAGCAAACAGTGAATAGGACCAAAAGCACTGAAGCTTTTTCGTGATTCTCTCGTTGATTTTGTGAAAGAATTGGTGAAACCAACTTGGGAAGAGGGTCAATTGGTCGCCACGCCGGCAAACACTGCAACTTCACTTAGGAAGAGGGTCGTTTGGTCGCCGTTGTGGAGCTTCACCACCGGCGAACACTGCAACTTCACTTGGGAAGAGGGTCGTTTGGTCGCTGTGGGGAAGTGACCCATTCTAGATCAAGGACAATCAATCTTCATAGATATCGTGCCAGCGCTTAAATTGACGAAGACGATTAACGGTTGCTCCCAGCAACACCAGATTCCTCCTTTTGTGCTGAACGAGACAATGGCCAATATAACGAATTCGATCAAGGCGAACAATAAGGAAAGAAACAGTGACTCATATGGCTTTCTTGTTTGTAGACGCAGCAGAGGCGACCTTAGAACGGAAACGCCCAGCCCGGAACGAAAGGCTTGGCTGGAAACTATAGACACTGCTGCTCGGTTTCTTTCTTCTCTCTACTTTCTCTCTCTGCCTCTTGCCCCAATTTCCTTCTTACAGACCTCTTTCTGACCATTGGATAGGAAAAAATTTGATGTTAATTTTTTAGTTAATTTTTTTTATATTAATGATTAAGGTAATTTGAACAAAACAATATAAATGATAATAAAGGTAAAACAATATAAATTTATTCCATTTTAGTTTTTAGTCCAACCAAACAAGTAAATGAAAATCATTATTTTATTTTTAACATTCTCTTGTTTGGTAGAATGGGAATCATTATTTCCATTCCATTTCATTCCTAGCTTCATTCTTATTCCATTTCATTTCATTCTTGCACACTAAACTAGCCCTAATAGAATCGATTAAAATTTTATATATATATATATATATATATATATATATATAATTGGAAGAATAAACAATCCATAAATGAATTGAACAAAACAGTTCATAAAGGATAAATACATGTCTATATATAAATAGAGAGATAGTAATATATGTATGTATATTGAAGGATAAAGTAGTTCACAGATTTTTAGGAAGAAGATTTTTTTGAAAGAAGATCTATATATATATATATATATATATATAATTGGAAGAACAAACCGCCCATAAATGAATTGAACAAAATACTTGTCTATATATAGATAGAGAGAGAGTAATATATATATATATATATATATATATATGTATATAGAAGGATAAAGCAGTTCACGGATTTTTGGGAAGAAGATTTTTGGAAAGAAGATCTAGATATATATATATATATGTAGAAGGATATATTATGACTATATATAGAGACTAATGTAGCAAATTTTTTTGGAAAGAAAGGTTAAAACGAAATAGCTATAAAAGGGTAAATTAGTCTTTTTAATTTTTCGGCATCTGATACTGACGTGGTGGGGCAAATTGTAATAAAATCATATTTTATAAAATATTTTTGTATTTTGAAAACTTTGAGTCACTGTCACATTTTATTTTAGATTAATTACATTCACACTTTCTGTGGTTTGCTATATTAACAACCTCATCGCGAAGGTTCCTTTTTTTGGATGAGCATCTCTCTCTCTCTCTAAGTTAGTCTTTTATTGAACAATGACAATCCTCAATTTTAATAAAATTAACAAAGACTCCTTACACGTGATGAAATGACTTATATACCTTTGACTTGTCAATAACAAGCTTTGAATTATGAAATGACTTAAATGCCCTTCTAACTAATTTTAATCCCCCTCTCACTGTATTCTCAAATTCACAACCCATCACCCCAAAGTAATTATATATATCGTGTGTATACAGGTTCAACATCATTGGAGATTCAATATATAAGAGCATCAAATGGGAATGTCTCTCTTCAAGGACTCTCTTTCCATATATATATATATATGGATGTCTGTGTGGGTGCATATATATGCAATATTGACTATATGAAACCTCAAGCTTCAAACAATGAAGCAAGCCAGAATGTAATTGCAAAACCCAGAAACAAAAGTTGAGAAAAAAATCAAAATAATAAACTGATTTTTTGAAAAACAAATACAATGTTTACACACGCCAATTAAACTGATTCCATTGTTGTTGTTAGGCATTTCCCAAAATATGTTAGAGAAGAGTCACCAATGAGATTTGCAGAGGATTTCTCACGATCCAAGGGTTAGGGAAAAGCTTAAGGTAACAGAGAGTTTGGTCTCGCACCCAACAAATCCACTCTTACCATACCTAAGCCTAAGCCGCAAGACCCATTCACGAACCCAAACCAAAGCCGCACGATTCGAACCCAAGCAACAACATTCATCGCCAACAATCTTGCCGAAATCTACGATAATTGTTACCCGAATCTTTCCAAGCTTTCGTCTTCATCAACCGTCGTCTTCCGTCGTCGTCGTCCTCAGAGTGTTTCGCTGCTACATCATCGCCGAAATCTAATACTTCGTCGTCGGAGTTGTGCTTTACTGTTGTCACCAGCAACCATTGTCGCAGTCGTGTCGATTTGGTTGTCGCCGGAGCCTTTTGTCGGATCTTTGTATTCAGAATATTCATTGGAGCTTTTCCGTGGTAGCAAGACGTGGAAGAAGACACGAATCTGGATCGTTTTTGGGAAAGACTGGAGAGGTGAGAAAAAAATAAAAAGTAAAAACTAGTATTAATATTGAATTTTCTCATTTAGGGCATTTTGGTCCATTAATGTTTTATATATTTTATATTAAAATTTAATCGAATATTCAAGTAGATATTTCACATATTTTAAGACTTTATTTGAATACAAAATATTACAGGGATGTTATCGTTGAAAAAGAGGCTAAGAGTAGCGTGGGTTATTGTTGAAAAAGAGGCTACGAGTAGTGTGGGTGTAATTAATCTTTTTATTTTTTATTTATTTTTTTATTTTTAAAACGTTTGAGATCATTTTTAATTGTTTATATACGTACTTAATTACTATTTCTGTCCCAGGTGTCCATTTTTACACCAAGAATATGATGGAGAAGCGATGGAGTCCCACACGGCTACACCTACCCTCACCACCAATCCTTCGTCCTGGTCGACCCCACTCGTGACATGGTCATCAAATGCCCAAACCAGTACGTCAACCCCTCAATTATGGTCTCCATCACCTACCTCCCCAATTGGGTCTATACCATTCTCACTTCTTTTGTTCCCATGGACCACCAAACCCTAATTTTACTAGAATCCCCAATTAACCTCCTATGGAGACGCTGCCTCCGCTGGCGGCGGATTCGACGAAGAAGAGCTTGCATTTTGCAGACTATTATTATACCAAATTTGTACAGATGTCAAATTTTAACTTTGCCACATCACTTATCAGGAGAGAGTTCCTACTGCCACTAGCGCAGGCCCCAGGAGGCAAGTATTGTCCAAATTGTTTGAATTTACTCTTCTTCCGTTAAGCTCCCTATTATAGTTTATTCCATTTTGACTTGACAATTATAGAATATATAGTATGAATTATTGACTTAGAATTGACTATTGATTTTGTTTATACGCCATCTCAGAAAACTTTGTGCTCTTCAAATTAGCAAGGAAATGGTGATATTTTGGGTATAGTCTCACAAGACTCGCAACTGTTCGTGTCAATGCCTCAATGGGCATCGACTTCTTTGCTATTTTCTGTTATTTTTTTGCTTTCGTATTTTTCTACCTTGCTGACATCTCCCTAGCAAGTGATCAGCTAAGTCCATACCAGTCAGTCAGTGGAAACCTGACCTTAGTATCCGCCGGAAAAAAGTTTCGGCTTGGCTTCTTTAGTCCCACCAATTCCAGAAACCAGTACTTAGGAATATGGTATGACGGCATCCCAACTCAAACTGTAGTCTGGGTTGCAAACCGAGATAACCCACTTAATGATTCATCAGGAATTCTGAGAATTGGTGATGATGGAAATTTGATTCTTCAAGACCAGGCAGAAAGGGTTGTCTGGTCCACTAATATCAAGAATTCATCATCAAAATCAACTACTGTTGCACAGCTCTTAGACTCGGGAAATCTTGTTCTGAGGCACGGAAGCAGAGATGGTTATATTTGGCAAAGCTTTGATCATCCTTCTGATACCATGCTAGCAGGTATGAAATTAGGCATCGATTCGAAAAATGGTCTGGACAGATACTTGACTTCGCGGAAGAGTGCAGATGACCCTGCTCCTGGAGAATTTTCTTTTGGCATTGACTCCCGTGGGTTTCCACAATTAGTCATCCATAAGGGCCCTATCAAGAAGTTCCGAAGCGGGTTGTGGAATGGTGAGGAATTCAGTGGATTACTTTTTCTACCTGACCTTCCCATCAACCCAAAGTTCATCATCAATTCAGAGGAGATGTATTATGCGTATGATATCAAGAATGAATCTACTCTTACAAGGTTAGTCTTAACTTTTTCGGGTTCACTCCAACGTTTTGTATGGAACAATGGTGGCCTTGAATGGATTGTCATGCATGCCTTGCCTAGCGACCCATGTGATAATTATGGCGAGTGTGGTTCAAATAGTATTTGCACAATCAGTACTGATACTAGGGTTTGCAGCTGTTTGACTGGATATGTACCCAAAGTAGAACAAGATTGGGAGATGCTGATTTGGTCTGGTGGGTGTGTTAGGAAACACCCATTGAATTGTTCCAAAGGAGAAGGATTTATAGAGATAAAGGGTGTAAAAATGCCCGAAGTATTGCAGTTCTGGCTCAACACTAGCATGAGCCTTGAGGATTGTGAAATGGAGTGCTTGAAGAATTGTTCTTGTACAGCTTATGCTAACTCACTAGTTACTGGAGGGGGAAGTGGTTGCTTGCTGTGGTATGGGGACCTGATTGATATCAAACGTTTCATAGAACTTGGCGATCAAAAACTTTACATTCGAGTCACAGCTTCAGAGCTAGGTATATTTCTCTTGTTTTTTCATTTAAGATGATTATACTGAAATCAAGTTGACTAACCCGTGAATCTTTCTTGGATTGTTTTTCTAATTGAATTGGTTTTAGAGTTGAAATCAAATTCTAAGAAGATCAAGCCACTAGTGTTGGTGATGATTGTTGTATCAGTAGCTATAGTAATGCTGATTGTTGCTTCTTGCATAATATGGAAGAGGAAAGTACAAAAACAAGGTATAAGTTCTATCTTTAACCTTTATTGCAAAATCCAGCTTTTGATGAATTTAATAATACTTAAGTTCAATTTATATTACATTTTATATATTTTTTTTTCTTTTCATATGTTTCTAGATCTGTCCAAGAAATCCATTTTGGGTTTCAATGCATCGAAACTACAATATATGCTTTAAGGTTCAGTTTGGTAGAGTTGGTTTGAAGGGAAAGGGAAGGGAAGGTGATGGAGGGTTATAAAAAAATTGTGGTTGGGTAAAATTGGTGGAAGGAAAGGGAAGGAGAGGGAAGGGTTTGGAGGGTTAACACAAGGCATCTACAGTGGCTTTGTTAACCTTCCAAAAATGGGCGGAAACGGAAGAAAAGGGAAGGAGAGGCTGGGCGGGTTGATCTTATGCCTAATTTGCCCTTGATTACACACAAAACCCATACATACAAGTTAGCAGTTGCAGAGAGAGAGAGGGAGGCAAGCTTGAGTTGAGAGAAAGAGGGCCGGCTGAAGCTTGCGAACGGCGAACCCGAATTGGAAGGGCGATGGAAACTGAAATTGGGTTTTGATATGGCTGAAATTGGGTTTTGATTTTTTGAACAATCTGAAATGATGCCGATATGGGTTTTGTAGTTTTGATTCTTGCAGACAAATATATATACTGAAAGAAATGGGTTTTGAACTTCTGATTCTTGTATTTGCAGTTGCACAGAGAGAGAGAGAGAGAGAGAGGGCAAGTTCAGAGTTAGGACGAGAATAGAGATGGAGGCAGGGAGGCTAAAATGATTTGCCCCAAAAATATTATATATATATTACATACGTTTTGTTATAGGGTTTGTCACTTTTTTCTTTTTTTTTTTTTGGCAAATATTACATACTTAAATTTATAAATTTTTCTTTCAAAAATTAAAAGGGTATAATAGTAAATTTACTAAAATACTTCTCTTTCCTTTCTTTTCCCAAACATAATTATTATCCTTTCCTTTCTTTTCCTTCATTACCAACCAAACACGACAGGGGGTTAAAATTATCCTTCCCTACCCTTCCCTTCCTTTTCCCTCATAACTAAAGTTATCCTTCCCCTTCAAACCCACCCTACCAAACATAGCCTAAAGGAGGATCTATCTGCTCGTTCCATTAACAAAAATATCTATATATATTACATAAATAGACAGTCTTTTATTTTATATTTCTTATGTTTAATTAAAAATCAATTTATGAAACTTGAAAATGTTAAAAGATCTAGGATTAATTTTACTAACACTCCATCAGGTTTGGCCAAATATTACATAGAAATACCTTTTGAAAATTACTATTACTTAGGTCCAATTTTACTTTACCGTCACTCACACCGTTGAAATTGTGTGAAAAGACTATTGTACCCCTATTTTTTAATACTTTTTATTTTAAAATATCAACAATCTAAAATGTCAATTTTGCCCTCATTAGTTACTCTCACCTATACCCACTTCTCTCTCTCTCTCTCTCATATTTGGAACTTTCAATTTGAAGACTTGCAAAATTCTTAAGTCGTTCACTGATATTTTGTTCTTAATTTTGTGTATTTTTTATTTTTGAAAATTTGGAGGAACCAAAGTGGATTTTAAGCATAGATCCTTGACCAATCCAGAGGTACTTTCCTGAAAGCCTGACATGCTTATATATATATATTCTCCTAATTATTCTTGGTGTGACCAATTAGTTGTAATCTAGAAGTGCATGAATCAGGACTGATTCTGGAGAAATTGATATTTATATTCCAAAATCTAAGCATCCCACTCCAAACATCTTTAAAAAATGAACAAAAATCACATGCGTGTCCATGTGTTCGTTCATATATGTATCTATGAATATATATATATATGTGTGTGTGTGTGTGTATGTAAATGTATATGTATGGTTGCAGAGGTGATGCAAAAGCTATATTAGGGTTAGGGTATTGAAAACAAGAATATTTCTAATTTGGGAACTTGGTTTCTTCAATTTTAGAGAAAGAAGACAATAATCAAACTATTGGGTCAGTTTGATTTAAATAAATAAATAAATAAAAACTATTGGGTGAGTCAAAATTTGCTCTGTCAACTGCTCATTCCTTAATTGGCTTTATTCATGTGCTTGAGTCCGTTAACCTCGCGAAGTGCTTTGTTGATTTTGAGATAATGAAAAAAAAAAAAACACTTGCTTGATTGATGCTACCTGCTCTCTTTGAAACCTGTAGTGGCCATTCATCCGAAAGAGATGAAGAAAATTACTTTTGGGTGCAACAGTTCTCTTTGCTAGATTTAAACAATCCAGATTGTAATGACGTCACAAGCTCTTTGCAGCAATTGAGAAGGATGAAGAAAAATTCTTTGTTAACACACAATTTGAGTAATGTTATAGGCTCTTTGAAGCATATATATATAAGGCAGGGTTGGTGTTAACTGTGGTTGTAAATTGGCGCTAGATGGTGGATCGCTAATGTGGGTCTTTGGGTCGCCAGCGGCACTAGTGGTGGCAAGTGAGGGGAGGGATATATTTATGCATATATATAAGAAGCAATAAAGATATACATACATATGTATATATATAAATATATGTGTACACACACATATATATATATAATTGTAAATTTATAAAAAAAATTTAGGGATATTTTTGTCTTTTAATATAATTCTTTAGGGTTAATGAGTTCTTTTGACAAAGATAAAGGGTATATATGTCATTTTACATGGTGTCATAGCCCAGACGTCATGTGCAGATAACTATTGGGGTGCAAGTGAAAGATGGAACAAACTGTTGTAGTTTGACTGATAGTAATTTTTGAAAGATGTTTCAATGTGATGTTTGGCCAAACCTGAGGGGGTGTCAATGAAATTCACCCAAAGATCTATCTGCATCAAATCCCTAAACGTTGTTTCAACGAACTATTGACTTCTTTTCAATTGAATTTTACATATTTTTACATATTTCAACAGAGTACTTTAGAATTTTATTCAAAAATAAAGTCTAAGCTGCCAGCAAGTTTCAGTGTTTTATTGTTTATAATTTTTCCTTTTGCTGGCTAATGGTTGCTTCAATTGAAAAGTCTCAAAAGACAAGTTATGAATTGCTTACTTTGTAGAAGAGCAGAAAAATGATTATGCGTATTATGCAAACTTCCTGGAGCATAACATTCAGATTAAAAATGTATAGACTGCAGCAGAGTACTTTTATGTTAGTGATTAAAACTGTATTGACCATGTTCTTGTTTGGAAGTTTAAAATTTTTGTGGAAGTTAATTTGACCATATTCTTCAGATTAAAGCTTAAACCCTACTAGCCAAAAGGTCCAGTTTTTATGTTCTGAAATGTTCTTATGATCCAAAATATGTTAATCCTATATTCTTGAACCCGTTGTGATTAACAGGAATGCCATCAGACTCTCAAGCCAGAGGTGAAGAAAACATGGAATTACCTATTTTCAATATGATTACAGTTGCAGAAGCAACAAATAATTTTTCTGATTCAAATAAGATTGGAGAGGGTGGCTTTGGACCAGTATACAAGGTAATCTCAGTTGAAGTATGTAATATGATTAACATATGGTGTGTGTGCGTGTAAATATAGAGAGAGTGTTCTTGTGTATCTGTGTTATACAAGGTAATCTCAGTTGAAGTATCTATTTATGATCAACATTTGGTGTGTGTGTGTGTAGAGAGAGTTTCTTGTGTACGTGTGTTCCCTCATGTATGAAGCAAAACTCCAATATTTGGCTTGATAGCTGAAAAAGTCTTGTGTTAACTTTAAATTTTACAGGGTCAGCTAGCATCTGGACAAGAGATTGCAGTCAAGAGGCTTTCAGAGAATTCAAAACAAGGACTCCATGAATTTAAAAATGAGGTTATATTGATTGCAAAGCTACAACATCGAAATCTTGTAAGGCTTTTGGGATGTTGCATTCAAGGAGAAGAGAGAATGTTAATTTATGAGTATATGCGCAACGGAAGCTTGGACTCCTTTATTTTTGGTTTGGCTCTCTCTCAACCTTTCTTATATTGAATTTCATAATAATGCAAAATAATAATAATAATAATAAAGTAACAAAGATGAGTTTTACAAAGTTGTTTTCTAGTTTACAAGCACATTTTTATTATTATTATTATTTGAAGGTGGATCAAACTATGCAAGTAATTTTCTTGAATGGAAGAGGCGCTTTGAAATTATTGTGGGGATTGCTCGGGGGCTACTTTATCTTCATCGAGATTCAAGATTGAGGATTATTCATAGAGATCTAAAAGCCAGCAATGTGCTACTAGATAATAATATGAATCCTAAAATATCAGATTTTGGCATTGCCAGAGCTTTTGCTGGAGATGAATTACATGCAAAAACTAGAAGGGTGATTGGAACTTAGTAAGTGCCAATATATATTTTTTTGAAGTACACGCGTATAAGATAATTTTTGTTGATTAATTTCTTTACTTTTCTTACAATGGCACAGTGGTTACATGTCTCCAGAATATGTCATCAATGGCCTATTTTCCATGAAATTAGATGTCTTTAGTTTCGGGGTGCTAGTTTTGGAAATAGTGAGTGGCAAAAAGATCAGACAGTTCCATCATCCAGACCATCATCACAACCTTGTTGGACATGTAAGTTCATTGTTAAAATTGATTTTCTTCTCCTTTGCGGTTGTTCTATAAGGTTAATTATTTCATGATATATGATGCTTCAGGCATGGAAATTATTCGTTGAAGGGAAGGCCTTTGAGCTAATAGATCCACAAATGGAGGATTCATTTCCAATGTCAGAAGTATTAAGATGCATACAGGTCGGCCTCTTGTGTGTGCAGCGACGCCCTGAAGACAGGCCAACGATGTCCTCCGTGCTCTCAATGTTCGATAGTGAGGGCACAATGTTGCCCCAGCCAAAACAACCTGGTTTCTACACAGATATAAGCCCTTCCGAGACAGAGTCCCAGCTCGAGGAAAGTTGTACAATAAATACGATGACCATTTCAATAGCAGATGGTCGGTAGAAGTGACATCATATATTGATACAGATTATTTAGGTAGGTTCAAATGTAAATATGTTTGTGTGATATGAAGGTTGGCTTGGGTAAGCTGTTTATTTTTGGAATGTGCTTGCAGCCTCCTCCATCTGCGAGATTTTTATGAAGTTGGAGGGGAAAAAAAGGATTATTCTGAGTTGACTTAGTATTCAAATAAAAAATAGTTAGTCATTTAGTAGTCTCTCTCCACCTTTTAAACGCAAGAAAGATTCGAGGAGTTCAAGTTGACAATTGCCATGGCCATGGGGCAAACTTGGTTTGTGTTATTAACAATTTTGGATACCATGGACTGAAGGATTTCAATGAGGGCATGTTATAAACGAGTTTGGCCCAAAACTGTGTAACTATTCCTAGCTTCAAGGAGTTGGACCATTCCTCCTAGCTTTAACCGGTTGGACGGCGAATATTAATTTAGTATTGGGATATAAAAATAGATGAAAAATAAACTAATTATATAAATATCTCTGCAAAGTTCACTAATTATTTGACTTTTGACAGGTCTCTTTGTATGTCAGGAAAGAAAATTTGAAGTTTTGAAATTGAAATTGATAAAAATGAAAAAAAAAAAAAAAAAAAAAACTCAGAAAATTGAACTGAATTTTTTTTTTTTTTTTTTTTTTTTTTATTTTTAATTTTACTAATTTCATGTAACCGAACACAACCTCAATGATTATTTGTTTGCTAGAACCAGAAGTAAAAATTTTAGTAGATAGGAATCACAAAAATTTCTTTCGAGGAATGGGTCAGACCACGTCATTTCTCAGGAACACTAGCTAAAGGCCTTGTGTAAGGAGTGAGCGCTTGTTCATTTATCCAAAAATTTAAGTTATTAGGTAGGACTAACACCCAACCAATATGTACTCAAATCACTCTCTCATCTGAATCCGATGTGTAACAAATTTCTCCTTGTAACATTTTTTCCTCTACTACCCGGATGCTTAGCGGGACACCACAACTAGGACTGTATTTTTCTTTAATATCAAATACAACGGGTACACGTTTACTTATTTATCTAAAAATTTAAACTATTAAATGGGTCTAACAGCTAATTCATATATACCTAATTCATATATACCTAATCAATCTCTTTTCTGAATTTGGTACGAAACAAATCTCTTGTAACACATTAATATAATCACTTGGATGTGAAACCTACATGTTGATGCTTCCGATTTCGATAGTAAGTGATTTGAAAGAGATCTCTTTGACTGAGTCACATGTATTTTCACTGTTCTTGTTTTTTTAATTACGAGGCAAGGAGTTTTTATTTGGTATATCCGACAAAGAAAGGAAAGATGGGTCTGTTTTTATTGACGGGTATTGCGTAACCGTTAAATATTATTTTCACTTTGGAAATATAATATCATAACCTTTTCCTCTGCCTCACGATGGAAACATGTGGTAGCCCTAGATGATTCCACGTAGCCATCTAAGCTGCGTGTTATTGTATTTGCCATTTTTTATTGAAATAATAGTGTATTGTGGAATAGGTTATTATGTTTTTAAGCAACTGATTGTTACATAGTCTAGAAACTATTGCCACTACGTAACGCAGAAATTGTTGCGTCGTTTTATTCAACTTTGTTTTTTACTTGCACGTCAATAATTATATCCTATGGACGAATTAGTGTTTGGGTCTATTAAATATTCTTTGGCAAATTTGAAAAAAAGGGCAATCAACAAATTATATCGCTTTGTGGAGTCAACAAATTTTAAAAAGGGCAATAAACAAATTAGACCGCTTTGTGGAGTCAACAAATTTTAAAAAGGGCAATAAACAAATTAGACCGCTTTGTGGAGTCAACAAATTTTAAAAAGGGTAATAAACAAATTAGACCGAGTCAGCATATGAGTTCCCCCCTTGACATTAAAAAAAAAAAACACAAAATCAACATCAGATTTATATGGATGCATGTATGATTGTATGAATCAAGAGAAGGGTTCACTGCAAAAATATATATATATATATATATATCTTTATTATATACAAAAGGTGCAAAAAATTCCCTACTAATTTTTTTTTTACAAAAAAACCCTTACTATTTTTTTGGGTGCAAATTAGCCCCTAATTAGCCATTTTGACCAATTTTTATTTTTTATAAAAATTCCAAAATGCCCTCTAGTCCTATGAAAGTCATCACCAGCCAACACCATTTCCGGCCAAATTTTGTTTCTTTTGTGTGTTAAGAGTTTCAATTGAAAACCCATTTCTGATTTTTGTGATGGAGGATGATAGCAATAGTGGTGATAAAACAGTGAGATTGATTGTGGATGTGAACTCATTAAACTGAGACTTGAAATCCATTCCATAAAACTCCATTTCTCTCTCTAGATTTATGCGTCCGAGTGTGTACCCTAAAGGAAGCTTCGTTCATCCCAAAGACTCCGTCCCACCGCTCCATTGTCAACAGACTTGTGCCACTATCTTCCACCAAACGTCGACACCACCATCCACCGCCGTCGCCATTTTCTTCCACCAAACGTCGGCACCACCATTCACCACCGTCGTCGTCCTCCTCCGCCACCCCTTCCTCATCCCTCACCTTCAAGCAACCACCGCCTCGTCGCCGAAGATAGCTCTGTAAAAAAAGAAAAGAAAAAACCATTTACAGAACTGCAAGACAGTTGCCGGCCGTCAACAGTTGTTGCTCGTTGGCCACTCTTGCTCGTCGCCGGTCGTTGCTCGCAGTTCTTCCTTGCATTGTCGTTCATTCCTCACCTTCGCTTTAGCCTTTATGTGTTCCTCAATTTTCAATTCATATTCATTGTTTTGCCTCTTGATTTTGTTGCAGACATGGGTTTGCCCTTGATTTCTTGATAGTGGCCTTCATTTTCAGTTTCTGCTTATTTGGGTTCACAAATGCTTTTTATAATTTAGCTTTTTTGTGTACTTAGTTCACTGTTTATGTATATTTTATTCAATTTACTAGTTTTTGACATTCACGTCATGGGTTGGGCAAGGAACTGTTATAGCCGACAACGGCGATGCAAACACAAAAAAATTATAACTTGGCCGAAAATGGTTTTTGCCGGCAATGCCTTTCACAGGATTAGGACGGTATTTTGAAATTTTTATAAAAAATTGGTCAAAATAGCTAATTAGGGGGTAATTTGCAATAAAAAAATAAAAAAATAAAAGAAGTAGGGAGTTTATTGCACCTTTTGTACACAGTGAGAGAGTTTCTTGCACTTAACCCTTAAGAAAATTAGATTTACATCTTTGTAACACCGTCTTTCATGTTTGGTAAAAAGGTGTAATCCCAAACTTTTATAATTTTTAATAATTTTATTATTATTATTATTATTTTTTGGAATATATGAGATAACTTCAAAAGAAATATTAATTCTTATGTTAACAAAAAAAAAAAAAAAAAAATAAAATTATCTCGGAAAAAAAATTTTAAAAATCTGAAGAAAATATCTAAAAGTACTGCTGGCAGATAGATTTTGTTGACCAGAGCAGTGTCCCACGTCTTTAAATTCCATTGGAAATGATGATCTAATGGGCATTTCATCACCCCTGTTCATGTCAATGGGCACCGTTTTCTTTCCTATAATCTGTAACATTTTTGCTTTCATATTTTTCTACCTTATAGATATCTCCCTAGCAGATGATCAGCTAAGTCCATACCAGTCAATCAATGGAACCACGGCCTTAGTATCTGCCGGAAAAAAGTTCCGGCTTGGCTTCTTCAGTCCCAACAATTCCAGAAACCAATACTTGGGAATATGGTTTGAAAGCATCCCAACTCAAACTATAGTCTGGGTTGCAAACCGTGATACCCCGCTTAATGATTCATCAGGAATTCTGAAGATTGGCGAAGATGGAAATTTGATTCTTCAAGACTACACAGAAAGAGTTGTCTGGTCTACTAATATCAAGGATTCATCATCAAAATCAACTACTGTTGCACAGCTCTTAGACTCTGGAAATCTTGTTTTGAGACATGAAAGCAGAGATGGCTATATCTGGCAAAGCTTTGATCATCCTTCTGATACCCTGCTAGCACGAATGAAGCTAGGAAAGGACTTGAAAAATGGTTTGGACCGGTATTTGACATCGTGGAAGAGTGCAGATGACCCTGCTCCTGGAGAACTTACCTACGGCATCGATTCTCGTGGGTTTCCACAATTTGTCATGCAGAAGGGCTCTATTAAGAAGTTCCGAAGTGGGTTCTGGAATGGTGAGCAATTCGGCGGACAACTTTTTCTACCCGACCTTCCCGTCTTTCCCAAGTTCATCACAAATTCAGAGGAGATGTATTATGAGTATGATATCAAGAATGAATCTACTCTTACAATGTTAGTCTTAACTTTTTCGGGTACAGTCACACGTTATGTATGGAACAACAGTAGTCTTGAATGGATTGTCATGCATGGTGTGCCTAGTGACCCATGTGATGATTATGGCCAGTGTGGTTCAAATAGTATTTGTACAATCAGTGAAACTAGGATTTGCAGCTGTTTGACTGGATATGTACCCAGAGTAGAACAAGATTGGGAGACGATGATTTGGTCTGGTGGGTGTGTTAGGAAACACCCATTGAATTGTTCCAAAGGAGAGGGATTTATAGAGATAAAGGGTATAAAAATCCCCGATTTATTGCAGTTTTGGATCAACACCAGTATGAGCCTTGAGGATTGTAAAATGGAGTGCTTGAAGAATTGTTCTTGTACAGCTTATGCTAATTCACAAGTTACTGGAGGGGGAAATGGTTGCTTCCTGTGGTATGGGGACCTGATTGATACCAAGCGTATCATTGAGCTTGGTAATCAAAAACTTTACATTCGGGTCACAGCTTCGGAGCTAGGTATATTTCTCGTATTTTTTTCATATAAGATTACACTACAATCAAGTTGACTAACCCGTTAATCTCTCTTGGATTGTTTTGCTAATTAAATTCATAGCATTGATATCAGATTCCAAGAAGATCAAGCCACTAGAGTTGGTGATGATTGCCGTATCAGTAGCTATAGTAATGCTTCTTGTTGCTTCTTGCATAATATGGAAGAGGAAAGCACAAAGACAAGGTAAACTTACGACCTTTATTGCAAAAATCCAGCTTTTAATGAATTGAATAATACTTGAAAAAGTTATAAGACCTAATGTGTCAAGTCCCTGAACGTTGTCTCCATGATTATTGACTTCTTTACAATTTTGAATTTTACAA